CACCCCCAACCCCACCCCATCTCCGGAGAGAGCAGTCCTGCATTTCGATTATTAAAGGCCAGGTTCTGAGGCCTAAGTAAACTAACTTATCTAGTTCAGTTTCTTTACATCCCCTTGTTATCTAACCTAAGCCTTTAGGCACCGGATAAGAGAATCTGAATGCCTTCAGCCAAATCCTTTTCTGAAGCTTTTATAAAACTTCCCGGCCTTCTAAGAAGGTTTGCATCTTTCTACAATTTGTCCCACCACACTTACCGAATCCCTACAGATGGGATGAACTGCCTGCGTATGGGAGGTACCCACTCTGGGTCTTTTCTGCACTGAGGCTGCACAGATGCCAGGACGACCTGCCAGCAGAAAGGAGCAACCCACTTGGGGTCTCCTGAGAGCTGTACTGTCACTCAATAAAGCTCCTCTTCACCTTGCTCACCCTCCAGTTGTCCGTATACCTCATTCTTCCTGAATGCGGGACAAAAACCTGGGACCCGCCAAATGGTGGGGCTGAAAGAGCTGTAACACGAACAGGGCTGAAATATGTCCCCTTGCTTGCCGTGTTGCAGGCAACAAGAAGGAGAGAAGCGCTGTGGCCCTTCTGGGAGCTCAGACCTAGGGGCTTCCTGAGCCAGGGCTGTGACACCCTCTTTAGGGCTCTGCAGTTTCTGGCATCTCCAAGCTTCCAGGTGCCACTACATTCCCCTCGTCCATATGCAGGTGCCCACTGCAGAAGCCGCTTGCAGTGCATCTCATCCAACTGCAGGCTTGCATGGAGCCAGCACCTGTGCTGGCGCCTGGAGCTGCCTGCTGTGCCTGGCTGTGTGCAGTGGCCGCCAGTGTGCCTGGCTGTGTGCAGTAGGTGGACCCTGCACTCACACACTCCTTGCCTCTCTGCTTGTCTTGTCCTTGGCAGACTTGGGATCTGGGCTGGTAGCACAAGCCTGCCAGGCTGAGTGGGCGGAATGAGCCCAGCGGACCTGAGTAAAACTCGGGTAAAAGGCACCAGTGACCACAGAGGCTTCCAGCTAGAAGCCCAAGGATCTCGTGGGAGTAGCATTTATCAAGGACTATCCAATAATATTTATTCCCTTTGTCTTTGAAATAGTTTACTGCTGGAATTTATTCCAATGGAATAAGAGGAGAAAAAGCTATATGAACAATTTTGAAAAGATTTACTCTTCATTTAACAACGATTTATTAAGGTCATCCTGAATCATGCCTGGTTAGGTCTGGGAATATAGACTGTCAGAGGGCACCTGATAATCCATGTTGTATGAGAGCTAAGAATTGAAAATGAAATGCACATCCAGTATTAGGGGATGGTAAGGTAAACAATGAAGTGCCAAGTTAATTGAATATTATGGAGACCTTTAAAGTGGTAATTTTGGCCAGGTGTGGTACATGCCTATAATCTCAGAACTTTGGGAGGCTGGGATGGGAGGATCACTTGACCTCAGGAGTTTGAGACCAACCTGGGAAACATAGGGAAACCCTTTATCTCCAAAAAATAAAAAAAATTAGTCGGACGTGGTGGCACGCACCTGAGGTCTCAGCTACTCAGGAAGCTGAGATGGGGGGAACGCTTGAGCCTGGGAGGTCGAGACTGCGGTGAGCCATGATCACGTCACTATACTTCAGCTTGGGTGACACAGCAAGACCATGTCTCAAAAAAAAACTGAAGACCATATAGAAACAGAGAGGAATATTTGATTGAGTGAAAGAAGTAATAAAATTGTCTCTAGATGCTAAGGAGGGGTCAAGATCTGTGTTTAAAAATCAGTATTTGGATAAAACCAAAGATGATACGCAGAAATGAAAATAGCTTTATTAGTATAATAGGATTTGGGATTTTAAAAAAATTTTGGCCGGGCGCGGTGGCTCAAGCCTGTAATCCCAGCACTTTGGGAGGCCAAGACGGGCGGATCACGAGGTCAGGAGATCGAGACCATCCTGGCTAACACGGTGAAACCCCGTCTCTACTAAAAAATACAAAAAAACTAGCTGGGCGAGGTTGCGGGCGCCTGTAGTCCCAGCTACTCGGGAGGCTGAGGCAGGAGAATGGCGTAAACCCAGGAGGCGGAGCTTGCAGTGAGCTGAGATCCGGCCACTGCACTCCAGCCTGGGCGACAGAGCAAGACTCCGTCTCAAAAAAAAAAAAAAAAAATTTTTATCTGCAATTACATGATTTTTCCTATAATAAAAGACGGAGCAGTGTACTGTGGCTGTAGAGCTGTAATGGATGCTGGAAGGAGTAGAAGGTAATGTTCTGTTCTACCTCCAAGAATACTCATCCATCTATCACCTTGTTTCTTCCCCATAGGGCCATGTGAAACTTTCTGACTTTGGTCTTTGCACAGGACTGAAAAAAGCACATAGGACAGAATTTTATAGGAATCTGAACCACAGCCTCCCCAGTGATTTCAGTAAGTGGTAACAATTACGTTAGCCTTTTCATTCTAACTGGGCCTAGAAGAGCTGTTTCCCTTGTAACCAAATTATGCAGGACAGATAGGAGATTCTCACAGCATGAGTGTGTAGAGAATAAAAATACCTTCCCAGGTTTGCCTGTGATTTGTGTTGTCTGGTGAGGCAAGATGAATGAATGGTACCAAATGTGTGAAGACAGAGGTTGAAAGGGGTCTTCTTTAGAGGTCTACTGGGAAGGTCACTGGGGATGAGTATGGGACAGGCAACCAGAAGTAGTAGAGGAAAAACTCCTGGGAACAGCTCTGGGCTAGGTTTATCCTGGGTGCTTCTTTCCTTCATGACAGAAAGAAGTTTATCCTTATGACAGTCACTTCCACTTGAACACTGTGAAATCATTGACAACTGTGTGGTAAAATTACATTTCATCCTAGAAAAGCTTATGTCAAATCATGTATTATAAATTCAGATGTCCCTGATCATATAAGTTACTACTACTTGGAAAATTGATGGTAATTTTGAGAAATTGTGACTGTTGTAGGTCCACGTTAGGACCTCGGTTCTAGTTGAGACTGAATTCCCTGTAATTCTGATTAAGTCCTATATCCTCTGTGGCCACTTGATCCACATGGGAGTACCTTTTACAACCCTGTGTGAGTCTTTTAAGTTAATGCTTTACAGCCTCTGATTTGGGCTTACTGTAAATTTACTAGGATACGTGTCATCTGGAGCTTTTGATGTATGAGTAGAAAGAAAGCAAGACTTTAGGGTTTCATATGACTTGAAAGAGCCTACTAAAAAAAGTAGTAAACAGTTTGGTCTGAACTTTGACCGCAGCTTGTATTCTCTACTTTCAGCTTTCCAGAACATGAATTCCAAAAGGAAAGCAGAAACCTGGAAAAGAAATAGACGTCAGCTAGTAAGTAATATCTGTGGCTTCTGAAATGCTACAAACCAAGTATGTATAAGTTCTAAAGATTTGCACATAAAATTGCATTTGACAGGTATTTGCAATGTGTCCCTTGCTTTTAAGATTACCTAGAGAGAGTGCTGTTGTTAGGTTGGTAGGACCCAAAGGAATCTTTTGAAGGAGGACAGGTAACATTAGGTTGTTTTCATTGTGGCATTTTCCGTGGGTGACCTCATTCTGACCTTTTAGCTTGGTAACAATACCTTTCCTTCCTGCCCCACCTTTTCTTTATTTTTGTAGTGGTAAGGGGGTTGTATTTAAGTTGGAGACCTCTCAAAACTAAGTACAAATACCTACCTAGAGTTTTCAGGCATCAGTTCTCAAACTTCTTAAAAATTTTGATCCACTTGGGCAAGGGCAAGTCAAGACTCCTCAATTCATTTGCCTCACACTTTCTGACTTTGTGATGTGAAAAAGAACCTACTTATAAAGATTGGAGAGAAATATAAGGGGAATGCTTATTTATATGCATTTGACTTTGTGCCCATGTAAAATTATGTCCTACAGGCTGAAAAATAAGAAACATTGTGTTTACCTTGATAGTATGTTGGAAGTACAAATTTACCAGTGAAATATTGCTGTCTAGGCAGAATTTATTTTTTAGCAATAGCTGATTAATTGGTTCTTGTTTGAAGTACAGTGTACATGTTCTGGTGTCCAGTTACTGGAGTTATTGGCCAGATAATAGAAATGTGTATCACTACATTCTTAAGCTTTGCAAGAAACCCATAGCAAATGAAACTGATGATGGGTAAAGCCAAACTAACATTTGGTCATTGGAAAGCAGAATAGCAGCAATGGGAAACTGACTAACTTGGAATGATGGTCATGCAAATGTATTGTCTAGAAATGGCAGCACTTCTGTTTGTCCACATATATGGTAGTAACTTGGCAAGTTTACCAAATACTGTGTTTCAGTCAGAATTCCTAGTGCAATACTGATTTACAGTTCTCTAGAGTACCTTTAATAACACTGTTAGTAAGTCACTAATAGGTGGATGTCAGTTACATGTGAAAATGGAAACCTATGGGATGGTTTAAGAAAGAGTCAAAGGAAAGTTGTGCATTCGTTTTGATTTATTTGAAGCCCACCCATCAGTGGGGCCTCAGACAACATTTACTTGGGAAATCTTCAGTTTAGGACAGTTAGTTACAAAACAGTCTCCCTTCTTTGGGAACTCTGCTACTCTTTAAACTTCTGAATTCTGTATGTGGTTGAAAAATATTTTATGTATCTTGTTGAGGATTAGGGAATGTCAGGAACAAATTTGGTCAGGTGCTTCTATTATGTCTCTCCACAGAGAAGTAGTTTTTAACCTTGGCTGCACAACAGAATCACTTGGGGAACTTCAGAACATGTTGATGTCCAGGTTCCACCCACAGAGATTATGATTCAGTTGGTCTGGGATATACTCTGGGTATCGTATCTGATTTTTAAAAGACTGATTCTACTGTGCAGTGAATGTTGAGAACTTCCACGAAGAGGTTATGTCTTAAATAATAGCTCCTGCATTGTTGGGCAACTAATACTTATCTATTTTTTGGAAACAGAAGGTGAGGAATCTGTGATTTCTGTTCTTTTCTTTTCTTTCTTTCTTTTTTTTTTTTTTTTTCAAGCAGGCCAGCATTTAACCTTTGGCTCCTGTACTAACAAGTATTTTGGGGATAAGGCTTAAGTGTCTTGAATTGTCCCTTATATTCCAAGACAAGCTTTGTGCTCTTTGATGTGTACCCAAGGGTCTTGTCATGATTAGAGGAACCATTTCTGTGGTTCTATAAGGAAAGCAATTTCACAGTTTTCGTGTTTGCAGTTAAATGTCATTTAATAGTTAAAAACATTTTTGAAAATCTCAGTAAACTTAAGGCCCTGATGCTGTGATTAAGGTTCTTGCCTTTTTATACTACATGCAGTAGAAGTGGGAAAGTGTAAATTAAGGTCATCCTCATATTATCTCTTTTCATAACTTGAAGAAAATGAAGCCACCTCTCAGTCTTCTAAATGTTAATTAACTGTGTTACTTTGACCTTTTCTAAGTGATCCCGTTCAGGTAGTACCAAGCTGAAGATAGATATTCGTTAATACTTAATATAAATTTACTGCTCTAAGTTAAGCCTAACATATGTAATTCCTACCCAGCCTATTACTTTTTAGTCCATTGGGAATCACTAAAAAAAGTAGAGGCTTTAGCTTCATTCCTTGGCTACTTAAATAATATTGTAATGTTTTAAATTGTTATGTGGTCCTGTATAACATTAGGCCCTAGTACCTGATTAATATGAGTCAGCTTTAAGTTAATCACAGATATAAAAGATAATAGACACATAGGCATCCGATCTTGGTCAATTTATTTTTTTAGGGTAGGATTTACAGAAGTGATTAGGAAATTAAATTGCTTTATTTCTCTTAAAACCCTGACACAAAATCATAAGGTTAGAACACATTTGGTTGAAATGACTGTTAACAACCGACGGAGCTATTCCAGATTGCAGCTTTCATTGACACTTGAAATACCCAGACAAGAAAAGGAAAAACTGGAGTACAGATTTATGAGGTTGGAGTTGGAGGACACCCTGGTGTGGAAAACTACAAAGGTTTGGGAAGGGGGCAGTCCTTAGATTGGAAAGGACACACCTGGTACAGACAGTGTGGTAAAATACGAGTGAGCTCCTACGGCAGACTCTAGTTTCTGGAATAAGAGCAATACTTTTACCTTGACAGGTTTGAGCCTGCTGTTTGCTATATTTTATAACTCTTAAGAGTTTTTCTTTTTAATGCATTGGTAGCTTGAAGGAGTTCTTTTCCTCTGGCAGTAGACCTCTGGTTTTATCATGGAAATCTTTGAACAAGTAAGATCTGCTTAGATTTACATTCATCTTTGGTAGAGTAAACCTCGTCTCTAAATTAAAGGGTATTTGTATTCTTACCTTTATGATTAGAATGAAAATTCTTAGAGAGGGCCTAATCCACGTTTCAGTCTTTAAAGCTTAAAGACAAAAGACAACACTGGTATTTGTGTTATTTAATATCTGCATTTAAATATATATTATACATATATATACACACACATGCATACACTTAGCTATATGGAAAAAATGGATCCCTACCATACAGTATATGCAAGTCAACTCTAGATGGGAAATTAAACTTTAAAAATTTTTAAAGAAAATACAGGGCAGTATCTTTATGACCTCAGAGTAAAGAAGGATTTCTTAAATAAGGTGCAAGAAGTACAGCTCATAAAGGAAAAAGTTGGTTTATTTTATTACTTTAAGGAAAAAAAACCTTCTGTATATCAAAAGACACAAAGAAATGAAAAGACAAGCCACACGGTACAGCTACTTTGGAATTACCTTTCAGAGTTCGTGTGTACACCCTACAGCGCTGCAATTCTACCCCTAGTCATAAGCCCTGGAGAAATTGCACATGTGAACCAGGAGACATGCAGAAGAATGTTTATTGCATTTTCATAATAGCAAAAGACTGGGAATAACCCAGTGTCCATCCACAGGAAAATAGTTACATTCTGGAATAGAATATTTTGCAGCAGTAAAAATAATTGAACTACAGCTACGTGTGACAGCGTGAATCAATTTTAGAAACATAAAGTTGAGAGGAAGAATCTAATAACAGAAGACTGTATATAGAATGGTACCATTTTAATAAAGCTCAAAAATAAAATCTCATTTAGAGAGATACCTGGCAAAATTCTTTTTAAAAGCTAAGGAGTGACAAAACATGAAATTCGGCATAGTGGTTAAGAGAAGCAGGAGAGACGGGGAAGAGTACATGTTTAGCTTAATATTGTTATTACTTGGTTCTTCAGTTGAACTCATGGGTATTCATTTTCGTGATTATGCATTATAATTTGATAATGTATGTAATTAACACATGTATATATGTGACATATTTTGGTAACAAATACTACTTCATTAAAAAAAAAGTCACAATAAAAATAACAAGCCTCATTCTGGGAGAAGATATTTGCAGTATACAAGTATCTTAAACAGATTAATGTCCTGAATTCATAAAGAATTCCTATGAATCGATAAGAAAAAGACAACACAACTTAAGCAAATACTAATGGACAAAGGACCTGAACAGGAATTCATAGTAAAAACCTGGATGGCTAATTAAAATACGAGTGTGCTCAGCCCTACTTGAAATAAAGTAAATGCAAATTAAAACAAGATCCCAGCCATGCTGGCACATCCCTAGAGTCCCAGCTACTCAGAAGGCTGAGGCAGGAGAATCCCTTGAGGCCAGGATTTCAAGGCTACAGTGAGCTGTGATCATACCACTGCACTCCAGCCTGGGTGACAGGCTTTTTCTTTCGCTTAAAAAGAAAAAAAGGTCCCATTTCATATTCATCAGATTGGTAAAAATAAAAATTAAAAATCTGACAAAGCCAAGTCTTGGTGAGATGTGGAGCACCAGAAGCTAATCCCCACCAGGATTGGTTTAAATAGGGACTAACTACTTTGGAGGACTTGGAAGATACTTCAAGTTTAGATGCTTATAACCCAAGGCTCAGCAATATTCTAGTTTATACTCTAGAGAAATGCTTGCACAGTGCCCAAGAAAGTATTACAAGAATGTTTATTCAGGTGTTACTTGTCATAGTGAAATACTGGAAGCAATGTAACTGTCCATTACAGAAGAACGGATAAAAACTATTGTGATTAATTTATATAACAGTATAGCATACAGCAGAGAAGTGAGTGAACTAGAGTGAACTACGTGAATAAATCTCAAAACTAATGTTAAGACAAACAGGGCCGGGTGCGGCAGCTCATGCCTGTAATCCCAGCACTTTGGGAGGCGGAGGCAGGTGGATCACTTGAGGTCAGGAGTTCGTGACCAGCCTGGCCAAAGTGGTGAAACCCTGTCTCTACTAAAAATACAAAAAATTAGCCAGGTGTGGTTCATCTCAAAAAAAAAAAAAAAAGACAAATGATCTGAGACAAATATGGCAAATTATTAATCTCTTTAATACGAGTAATGGGTCTGTATTGTCTGTTCCTTTTTTGTATATGTTTGTAATATTTCATAATACATGTTTTAAAAAACAATACAACTGTAATTTAAAAATTTATATAATATATAATATTTAAAGCACCTAGATCAGCGCCTTACACATGGTAAGCCCTCAGATGTTAAGTACATTAGGAGGCTTTAATTGTACTTTCTCCTCTTATTTTGCAGTCCTGGTATGTTAGAGTAGAATACTGGGATGCAGAAAATGTTTCTCTTGGTCGAGTATGGTGGCTCACACCTATAATCCCAGCACTTTGGGAGGCTGAGGTGGGAAGATCACTTGAGCCTAGGAGTCTGGGCAAGATGGCAAAACCCCATCTCTGCAAAAAAATTTAAAAATTAGCCAGGTGTGGTGGCATGCACCTATGGTCGTAGCTACTCTGGTGGCTGACATGGGAAGATCTCTTGAGTCTAGGAGTTTGAGGTGAACTATCATTGTGCCACTGCACTCCAGCCTGGGCTACAAAGGGAGACCCCCGTCTCTTAGAAAAAGAGAACAGTTATCCAAGAACTATGTACAAAAACAATTATGTTTGGTAAATAGGTATTTATAAACGTTAACTTATAGGATATAACTTTAGCTTTTGATCATAAAGCTTCCCTTTATGATTGTGTCAAATCAAAGAATGTGTATCATAGAAAGAGGGATGGTTTGGAGTAAGATATTATAATTTCTATCTTTTTTTTTTTTTTTTTTTTTGAGACAGAGTCTCACTCTGTCACCAGGCTGGAGTGCAGTGGCATGATCTCGGCTCACTGCAACTTCTGCCTCCTGGGTTCAAGCGATTCTCCTGCCTCAGCCTTTCGAGAAGCTGGTACTACAGGTGCACCCCACCATGCCCAGCTAATTTTTGTATTTTTAGTAGAGACTGGGTTTCACCATGTTGGCCAGGATGGTCTCGATCTCTTGACCTCATGATCCACCCACCTTTCAGCCTCTCAAAGTGCTGGGATTACAGGCGTGAGCCACTGCTCGCAGCCAGATACTTAATCTCTAAACTGGGCTGTACCACCTGACTAGTTCTGGGGTCTTGGGCAAAGCCATTTTGAGCATCAAATTGTATCTGCAAAGTTAGGCTAATAAGGTCCTCCTTGGAAAAGTTTTGTCGGGATTAAATGAACTCATGTATATGAAATTTTATATATATGTATATATAACTCATGTTATATATAAAGTACAGAGCCTGGTACTTAATGGGTGCTCAGTGAATTGTAATACTAGTTATTATGACAGAGATGCCTTCGCCGTAGTGACTGATAGTTAAGAAGGGTCTCCCACCTCATTAACAAAGCTTTCTTGTTCATTTTGGAAAGTGCTTTGGCAAATCAAGCTTGCCGTTAAGCTACTGGGCAGTCCCGCGTATTTAGCTTGGGGGTAGCTTCTGGTGGTATTCATAGCCTTTGGTTTCTAGAACAGAACTCTGGGCACCTCCTGCCTGGCTGGGCCTCCCTGATGTGTGGTCCATGTTTCAGGCCTTCTCCACAGTAGGCACTCCTGACTACATTGCTCCTGAGGTGTTCATGCAGACCGGGTACAACAAGCTCTGTGATTGGTGGTCGCTTGGGGTGATCATGTATGAGATGCTCATCGGTAAGTTGCATGGTTTCAGAGGACTTTTTCTGTGCATCCGTGACAGACTTCTACATTGATATCAGCCTCTGTTTCAACTGGCAGTGATCTAAGTGATTTCCCCACTTGTCTTTCAAAGTGAATTGTTTTAGACAGATGACAACTTTTTCAGTAAGATGTATCCCACTCCATTCTTAGGCTTACTGGCATCCTGCAATTGCTTTGTTGATCATTTTTTATGTTTTTCTTTCTCTTATACCTTCATCTTCTCCATCTAGAAGCTCTTTCAGTCACTAGCACTTATTAACATCTGTTGTATGCAGAGCATTTTAACTGGGCATTGCCTCACTTTTCTAATATGCTACCCCCTTCCTCTGTCAAAGCCTTCAAATCATGGGACCCTGTGGCCTCTCTCCCTCTTATTGTATTGGTGTATCTCTGTGTTTATGGGACGCATCTGTGGGGGTGGTCATGTGCCAGCGAGCAAGTATACCCTTGTTGGTTCCGAGTGAGTCTATCTGGCTGCTTTGGCTTCAGGAACATGGGAACAATGCCTTTGGAGGTGGGCGTATACCATCTGGAGGGAAGATGGGGTGATACGGTGTGTGCGTGTTTGTCTTCTTGCCTGTAGTTCTCGAAAAGACGCATGGTGGTCCTTTTTAAATCTATGCTTTTTTCTTATTCACGTTATTTGGTACTTTACCCATATAAGGGTATTTCTGGAATGATACTGTTTCATCCTTTCATTTCTTCTTTGGGCATGGTGATTCCCACACCTGCAATTCTATTTATGTCCTCCTTTCTTTTCCCAGCTCTACCTATTAGCTGACTTCCTAGTGGTACCAGAAGCATGATTTCACTTTGGGTCTGGGAGTTTGGGGGAAAATGAAAAATAGGTTTAGATATTTTCTGGGATAAGTGGAAATCCTGTCTATGTCATAGAGGGATGGCCATACAGAGTAATCCAGTAGTCATTAAAGACATACAGAATCAGGCCGGGCACAGTGGCTTATGCCTGTAGTCCCAGCACTTTGGGAGGTTGAGGCGGTAGGATCGCTTAAACCCAGGAGTTCAAAACAAGCCTGGTCAACGTAGCGAGACTCTGTCTTTACAAAAGAAAAATAAAAAATCAGCTGGGTGTGGTGGTGCTCTTCTGTAGTCCCACCTACTGAGGAGGCTGAGGCAGGAATTCAAGGCTGCAGTGAACCATGATTGCACCACTACACTCAGCCTAGGTAACAGAGTGAGACCCTGTCTCAAAAAAAAAAAAAAAGACATATAGAATTGTATTAAGGAGAGTAATCTTGGTCAGATTCAAAGTTCTGGAGTGTAAAAGCTCCGAAGTTCCTTTTTATTACAGGCTACCCACCTTTCTGTTCGGAGACCCCTCAAGAGACATACAAGAAGGTGATGAACTGGAAAGAAACTTTGACTTTTCCTCCGGAAGTTCCCATCTCTGAGAAGGCCAAGGATCTAATTTTGAGGTATTAGAGAACATCCCTCCACCTTCTTTCTCAGCTTTTTCATATGAATAATTCCATTTTTTTTTAACTGTTATTATCTCCTGAATCTGCTTTCTGTTTCCTCCTGTTCCTCTCTTTAAACGAATAAAAAGGCTGTGTGTGGTGGCTCACACCTATAATCCCAGCATTTTGGGAGGCTGAGGCAGGGGGATCACTTGAGCCCAGGAATTTGAGACTAGCCTGGACAACACAGCAAAACTCCACCTCTAAAAAAAAAAAAAATTGGCTAGGCATGGTGGAACCTGTGGTCCCAGCTACTTGGTAGGCTGAGATGGGAGGATCACTTGAGCCCAGGAAGTTGAAGCTGCAGTGAGCCTTGATTGTGCTACTGCACTCCAGCCTGGGTGACAGAGTGAGACCTTGTCTCAAAAAAAAAAAAAAGTTTTTCTGAAGAGACTGCTTGAGGTGTGCTGAAAGGCCTCTGTCTTTTCCAGATTCTGCTGTGAATGGGAACATAGAATTGGAGCTCCTGGAGTTGAGGAAATAAAAAGTAACTCTTTTTTTGAAGGCGTTGACTGGGAACATATCAGGTATATCCATATAAACACTTTCAGAATTATTTCAGAAAGTCTCTAGTTTACTTAATAATAATTTGGAAGGACCATCATTGGCAAGCCAAGTAAGGGAAGAGAGCTTCTTAGAGATTTAGGATCTTTTCCTGATTTTCATTCATGGTGATTGGGCGTTGGGTTTTTTGTCAGCCATGTGTCATGGAATATATTGAATCTAGCAGTTATTTACAAAGTGAAGTGAACTTTTGTTTTTTGTGGTGGAGGGAGCATCTAGGAAGTGTATTACCCTTTACCTAGAACTCAGCAACCTCTTAGGGCCCGCCAGCGGGCCTGTTCCTGCCCACAGGGTGGAAGGTATCACTGAAACATAGAGAAGGGAGAAAGGAGTGGAGGAAAGATTGGAGGGGTGAAAGTGGAGAGGGAAAGGGGAGAGTGAAAATTTTTATGGTGGGGGTCGTAGACTATGGCCAATAGCCATGAGAGCCTAGACCACCTGCTGTAGTCCAGACCTTCTCATTCAGCAGTCATTGGTTATTAAATAGAAGGTGAAGAAGTTTTCATTTATTTATAATTGTGTTCTGATGTGCTGCTTGTAATTTTTTACCTTTGCCACTTTTTTAGCTATCCTACTCGTTGGCACCTCCAGTAGAAGAAGGGCAGAGCCCTACACAAGGGGACATTTAGAGGCTCAGTTTCCCTTTTTAGTAGACAGGACAGGCCATTGGGGGAGTTACACTAACTTAAGGTTTTAGTTATTCTTGTCTTTTTTCTAGCTATGAATGATTGAGTTTTTTTTTTTTTAATCATAATTTACTTTGGGTACAGTCAGTTGGCTTGGTTGGTCAGTTTTTGTAAGTTTTTCAGAGAAAATAAATGCTGCCTGCCAGTGAAGAGTCTTCTCATGTCAGACCAGGGGTCTTTTTTGGAGAAAGACTTGAGTGGTATGATCCATATGATTACTAACTTAGTAATTTTTGGCATGTGTATTCTTGGCAGAGAGAGACCTGCTGCAATATCTATTGAAATCAAAAGCATTGATGATACTTCAAACTTCGATGAGTTTCCAGAATCTGATATTCTTAAGCCAACAGGTAACACCACCAGCATTGTCTCCTGCTGCCTTATAAGCACATTATTTACCCCCAATTTTGGGATGATGTTTACAAGTCAGGGTAGTGAACATGGAGAGGAACTTCAGTTCTTCACGTTCTTTGTAAGTACTTTTCCAGTTCTAATGCTAGGTAGTGGTGAAACCTTGGTGAATGGAAAATGAATATCAGCTCCCATGTTTAGACTGCTCAACTGGGTAAGTTACAAAAATCTGTTCCTTTGTTATTTACTGAGTGTTAGGTAATCTGAAATGACAGGAATGGGAAAATAAAACATTAAAAAATTTGTGAAGAAATACGAGATTTAAAGAACATGAGCAAGAAAATGTAGAAAATTCATAGAGTGAGGCCAGGCACGGTGGCTCACGCCTGAAATCCCAGCACTTTGGGAGGCCGAGGTGGGCAGATCACGAGGTCAAGAGATTGAGACCATCCTGGCCAACGTGCTGAAACCTCATCTCTACTAAAAATACAAAAATTAGCTGGGTGTGGTGGTGCATGCCTGTAGTACCAGCTTCTCGAAAGGCTGAGGCAGGAGAATTGCTTGAACCCAGGAGGCAGAAGTTGCAGTGAGCCGAGATCGTGCCACTGCACTCCAGCCTGGCGACAGAGCGAGACTCTGTCTCAAAAACAAAAACAAAAACAAAAAAAAAGAATATTCATAGAGTGAAAAATAAGCTTTGCCAAATAGAAACTGGTATGTTCTTCAGGGCGCCGTCTTCAGCACCGTGAGTAGTCCTTTGGAGGTAAGGCAGTGAATCAACTCTCACATCTGTTTCTTTCCCAGTGGCCACAAGTAATCACCCTGAGACTGACTACAAGAACAAAGACTGGGTCTTCATCAATTACACGTACAAGCGCTTTGAGGGCCTGACTGCAAGGGGGGCAATACCTTCCTACATGAAAGCAGCAAAATAATTCTCTTGCCATGGAATCCTACATGGAACAGAGTTCTTTGTGCAACATCATGCTTTTCCTCCCACACTCTTGAAGAGCTTCCAAGAAGTTGATGGAACCCACCAGTATGTCATAGTAAAGTCTCCTGAAATGCGATAGTAAGAGGATTTCTTCCATAATGCATCTGAAAAACTGTAAACAAAGACAACCATTTCTACTGCATCGGCCATAAACAGCTATCCTGCTTCTTCCGAAGCATCATGAGCCAATTTGGTAGGTGTTTTAAAAACAACTTGAGTTTTCCTAAGTTCATCAGAATGAAGGGGAAAAACAGCCATCATCCAACATTATTGAGATTGTCTTGTATAGTCATCGAATGTCAGCCAATTCCTGTGATTTTGTGACACGCTATCTGCCAAGCCCACCAAGTATTTCCTTTATAGCTGAAAGTTCCATAGTACTAAGGAAATAAAGCAATAAAGACAGTCTCAGCAGCCAGGATTCTGGCTGAAGGAAATGATCCACCACCCTGAGGGTGGTGATGGTAGTTTCTACCCATACCTCAGCCTCAGGCAAGTGGCTTATAGCCTCCATTCATGGTGCACTTTATTATATGGTACTAAGATAAAGACTGTCAATCCATTGATTTATCTCCTCCCTGTCCCCCATCTAAAATATCCATGCTGCTTTTCTGAGTGTTGATGGGGGTTACCAGCTTGATCCATTGTTGCTCTTAGAAGGCCCGGAAAGTCTTTGGGCATTGCCAAGGAATCCCGGATTATGTGGAAAACCCTCACTTTCTCTTCACGGCTGTACCAGAAAATCCCTAAGACAGATGTTGCTGTGGACCAGCAATACCTGCAAGTGCTGCCAGCGGGAACTCAGTTTATTCCTGGGAACTTAACAAGGAGAGCCCAGGCCTAGGCAGGAGGCCTGGAACCCTCTTGGCTAAGGTGCTTTTCCTGTTCCTGCAAGGTCTCCAGAACCTCTTTGGAAATGGTGAAGGAACCAGCCCAATAGAAGTAGAGCCAGCTGACAAGTCTTTGTAAAGTTCACTCCTCAGTCCTTGGCACAACCATGTTTTGTCTTCTCTCTTGGTATTTCTTCTCTCTCAACTTTAAGTAGCCATTTTGCCTTGGAATCATGATTACAATTTTTTCCTTTGCAGATGCCTTCCTGGAGGATACTCCTCCCCACCATAAAGGGTCGCCTGCAACTTAGGCGGATTGGGTCTCTCTGCTGTGTCGTTCTCTCATGAGAGACCCTCTGAATTGTATAGCACAAAGTGCCTTCTGTTTCACAGCTGCCACCACCTTTAGAGGAATTTTGTCAGAAAAATGTGGAGGCTCCATATTAATGCATTGTTTTTTAAAACGTTTTGATAACTCTTAAAGCATCATTTGCACCTGTGTGGGAACTTTGCCTGCTGCAGAGCATTGTGGCCGAGCTGCAGCTGGGAGCCTGCTTTCTGCCAGTAATGAGGTTGTGAAGATCAGTTTTGAAAGGAAAGTATGTCCTAGCTTAGCCATTCAGAAGAGAAAAATGGAATATCAGAGTTACGGTTGTCAGTGAAACTGCTTTGGGTTTTAACCTCTTAGAGGAAGAAAAAAGGTTAGGGAAGTCTCAACTCTGGATGAAGGTGATGTGTTTGCCTCTCAGTCTTTCATTCATAGCCTGCTAGTGAAAAGGAAGTAAATGAGATTCTTTTGTGTAACTTTGTAGTCTCTGTATTACCAAATATTTGGGGTGTTGACTCCTGTGTGTTTTGCAAGAATGTTTGGTAAGCCTGGGTAAAGAGAAGTAACTGCAGTGTTGGGAGAGTCTTTGTGTGGGGGAGTGGCAGGGGATGATTTGTTTTAGGGGAAAATGCCCACATTTTAACTTTTAAACTTAGGAATAAACTGTGTGAAAACAGTAGTGGAAATATGTGATGTGATTTATTAAACTGATAAGAACAGATACTGCATTTAATCTTAGCAAAAAGGCCAAGAAGGGATTGTGATGTGATTTAAAGCAAATAGTGGCATATAACTTAGAGGCAGAGTGCTGGTGGCTGCTTTTAACTAACCCCTTTGTCCACAAACCATTAGAACGCCTAATTTCAAGTGTTAATTTCAAAACTGTGTCACCATCTTCATGCAAAGTGCTTTTCCATCTCAGGGAAGCTGGGACTGACTTTTGTTCTTAGGGAGCTAGTCTCCTGAATCACTGTGCATATGAAGAGACTTCTCTTGCCCCGACTGCATGTGCTGCTTCCACCCATCTCAGTGTTGCAGGGCAGTGGGCCCTCCCCTCACAGTAAGGCCAAGGGCACATCCTGACAAAAGTGCTGTCATCTGGTGGACCTTTTGTACAGCCCTTTACAGCCTAGCCCCATTTTTTCCCAGCCTGGAGTCAACCAGGAATCTCATGAGCTCATAAGATGGAAATGTTGGCCAGGTGCAGTGGCTCATACCTGTAATCCTAGGACTTTGGGAGGCCGAGGCAGGGGGATCACAAGGTCAGAAAACCGAGACCATCCTGGCTAACACAGTGAAATCCCGGCTCTACTAAAAATACAAAAATTAGCTGGGCATGGTGGCACGAGCCTGTAGTCTCAGCTACTCAGGAGGCTGAGGCAAGAGAATCGCTTGAACCCAGGAGGCAGAGGTTGCAGTGAGCTGAGATCGTGCCATTGCACTCCAGCCTGGGCGACAGAGCGGGACTCCGTCTCAAAAAGAAAAAGGAATTGTTCAGCACTGTGTCCATCAGAGCAGGGTTCAGTCTCTGAGATGTTGTGTACTGAAGGAGTCCCATATGCCCCACTTATTAGCCCCTTTCTGGGTAGGGAAAAGCACCTCAAGGAGTCAAGAAGGGAGGGGCAAAGACCAACTAAGAGTAGAAACTGCAGGCAGAGAAAGCTAAATGCAGCCAAAATGGGTAATGGCTTTCTAAGGCTTATGAATCCTAAGAAACATGTTGGGCAACACTGGCTCAGTGTTGATCCTGTTCACAGAAATTGTTTCCTACTCCCATTGGGGGAGTGAGAAAATAGTATGTAACTACTGCATACTAAAATGAAACCAAAATCATATCATTCGGTCTCCCAGTTCAGGAGTGCATCACCATTTTCTTCAGTACCTGTTTTTCTTTTTAGTTGGCTTGGTTGATTGACATTTATTTCATACTCTCCTCCCCTGCATCTCAATTACCCTGGCTGCTTTTCTGAGTGTTGATGGGTGGTTACCAGCTTGATCCATTGTTGCTCTTAGAATTACTTTCAGAGGGCTGGGTATGATGGCTCACGCTTTAATCCCAGCACTTTGGGAGGCTGAAGTGAGTGGATCGCTTGAGCCTAGTTCAAGACCAACCTGGGCAACATGGCGAAACCCTGCCTCTACCAAAAATACAAAAAATTAGTGTGGTGGCACGTGTCTGTGGTCCCAGCTGCTCAGGAGTCTGAGGTGGGAGAATCACTTGAGCCTGGGAGGTGGAGGTTGCAATGAGCTGAGATCGTGCCATCATTGCACTCCAGCCTGGGTGACAGAGTGAGACTGTCTCAAAAAAAAACAAAAGGTCAGAAGTAAGATTCACATGAGTTGCTTCAGGATTAATACTCAGATTCTGCAAAACAGATTGCCAATTTGAAAACTCATCTATACGGCCTAATAGCAGTCCCCCTCTGCCATCAGTAGGTAATGTTCTTTGTCAGACTTACTTCCTTGGAAAGCACTTTTTTAGATCGCCTTGTCCTGGTTCTCCTTGGCTTCTGTGTAACCCAAGTGGTGTTTTTAATTGAATTCAGAAGGATTCAGTGAATGATATTTTCATTTCCTACAGAGCATATTTCTCTGGAATGATCCATCAAAGCCAACACTGACAAAAACGGCCTCCGTGATGCTTTTTCACGCACATTTTCAGAGAGAAGACACCTTGCCCAAGCAACATTCAAGCGTCTGTGACGCACAGAGCTCAGTTCCAGGCAGTCTGGTGAGGCAACAGGGAGCTCACTGTGGTTCCGAATTGCAGATCAGTTTGAAAGAATTCCCACCAAGTGGCTTAATGGAATGTAGCATCACCTTATTTACATTAGTGTTGATGTGACTTTGATGACAAGCCAACCCAGAGTTATGAGCAGCTTAGTGAAGCATCCCAGAGATGTTTTTATTTAGGCAGCAGTGATTTGGCAGAAGGAAAACAAGCAGTCCAGGGTTTTGTAGGCTGGTCGTTACGCTCCTGTTGTGGTGGAGGCATGGATCTATGAATAGGTATTACTTTTGTGAAGAGCATAAGGAACACTCTGCAGTCACTTTTACTTTGTTTCTCACTTCCCCTCTTTAATCCATGCTCGTCTGGTCTCTGCCCCATGTGTGAAATGTTAGTATTAATTATCTGCTGTGTAAAACATGCTTGTATTTGTTATCACTCCTCTAGTCACTGGTGTTCTGCCATATCCATTGGGTTCCCTTCAGTCCTCATCTTGATCTGCTGCATTCATACTGTTAACCTTTAAAACAAACAAACTCTCCTTCCATCTCCCTGACTTCCTTACTAGTTCCACAACACTTAAATGTTGGTGCTGGTGCCTTTGCCCTCTTCAGTCGTGTGATCTCTTGGTGATCTCCATACTGTGGCTTCAACTACCACCTTGGCAGGGAAGTCCTCAAAGACCCACCTACTTTGTTTTTTTTAAGACGGAGTCTCACTCTGTCACCCAGGCTGGAGTGCAGTGGCACAATCTCGGCTCACTGCAGCCTCCACCTCACAGGTTCAAGTGATTCTTCTGCCTCAGCCTCCCCAGTACTTGGGACTACAGGCACGTGCCACTACGCCTGGCTGATTTTTGTATTTTTAGGAGAGAGAGGGTTTTGCCACCTTGGCCAGGCTGGTCTCGAACTCCTGACCTCAAGTGATCCACCCATCTGGCCTCCCAAAGTGCTGGGATTACAGGCATGAGCCACCGCGCCCAGCCCAAATCTTTATTTCTAATTTTACTTTCTGCTAAAAAAAAAACCAGACACTCAAATGATAATATTTTATTATAGAAAAAGCATCCCAAATACAGGATTTCGTAAACACTGGTAGGTGAACAAGTGCAATTTTAAAAGTAAATACAAAGTAAAGAGGCAAAACCTACAAGCATTTTGCCTTCAGAAGAAAATGTAATGTTCTCCTGCACTAGTGATCCCACCCAGAACACAAATATGGCTCTGTCTCCCATGAAGGCATCAGATTTGCTTTCTGAGCTCAGTATACCCATTTCAACAATTGCAAAGTGATGGCAAGAAGTGGCATTGAATACATTACTACAAACCTTTGACTTAAAATGTTGAGACAGGGTCTTGCTCTGCCATCCAGGCTGGAGTGCAGTGGCGTCATCATATCTCACTGCAACCTCATCCTCCTGAGCTCAAGAGTCATCCTGCCTCGGCCTCTTGAGTAGCTGGGACTACAGGTATGCACTACCATGTCCATGCCTGGTTATTTTTTTATTTTTTATGTTGCCCAGGCCAGTCTCAAACTCCTGACCTCAAGTGATCCTCCCACCTTGGCCTCCCAAAGTGCTGGGATTACCGGCATGAGCCACTGCACCCAGCCAAAACCTTTTTTTTCTTTCTTTCTTTTTTGAGACAGAGTCTTGCTCTGTTGCCCAGGCTGGAGTGCAGTGGCACAATCTTGGCTTGCTGCAACCTCCACCTCCCAGGTTCAAGCAATTCTCCTGCCTCAGCCTCCCAAGTAGCTGGGACTACAGGCGCTCGCCATCACACCCAGCTGATTTTTTTGTATTTTTAGTAGACACGGGGTTTCACTGTTGGCCAGGCTGGTCTCAAACTCCTGACCTTAGGTGATTTGCTGGCCTTGGCCTCCCAAAGTGCTGGGATTACAGGCGTGAGCCACCATGCCTGGCCAAAAACCCTTGCTTTTTAACTTCAGAACACTTAAATGTTAACAATACATTATAAGCCTTTCCAGGGCCTAGGGGAAACCATTAAATGATCTGACTCACTTGTCATCTTGCCCGCCCTCCAACTCCTCAGTGGCAAATGTTTCCTCATCGAAACAGCATGGTATGATGCAGATGCAAACTCAAGATTGTAAACTTCAGATTCGGGTTAATCTCGGCTTGCCGGTTACTCTGGCTAAAACCATTTTCTTATGAAAATGTTTCTCTGTCAACAGCCTGGCTTGCTTATTTAGGCACTTAGAAGAAAACACCAAACCCAAGTTCCACCTTTTTACAATTACAAATGCCTCTTACCCATCTGGCCAGTAACCAACTATGAAGGGGGTGACTTCAACCCAGCCCTTGTTTCTGTGAGGACTGAGAGGTCCTGCTTTTGCAGAATGGCCTGCCCCTGGGAATGGAGCAGGCTTGGGTGAGCTCCAGGTGGAGGGTGATGGGTGGGGCATAGACATAAACCTTCCTCTCCACCAGAAGGAACCGGTGATCCCAGCTTTTCCTTCAGTCACCACCACCTCGTGACACTAGAAAGCCTACCATCAAAGATTTCCAGCTTACTGAAACCCCACAGGTTGGGGTTAAATGCATGTTAACCTAACTTGGGGGAAAAAAGACCTCAATCTGGAAAGCCTGAGCAAAGTAAAGGGTTACACAGAACAGTGTCAAGTATATGCCATACTTCATACCTGGTATTTTCCCTAAGCAAGAACTAATTAGTTTTCATTTTTAAGTGTTAGCTGTGGCATGTTTACACTTAAATGTTGACAATACCTAAGCTGTGAAACAGAAGTTATACATACTTATTATGGAATATACAAACACTAGGTAATTCAAATTTCCTTTGTAATGGCATGGAAGTCTACTGAGAAGCAGAAAAGAAGCACCATTTAACAATTATCTGGGCTAGTCAACTGGTAGTGGGTATAAATGTACTGGTAAGGTCAAGGCCAAACCTGACCTCAAATATGAGCCAATTAGT